TGCAAATGGCCTAATTAGAAGGCCAGTTTCCCAGTGCGTCTCCCTTGCAGTCTGCATCTGATTGGTACAAAGCCACACTGATGTGCTTATAAAGGGAAAATCCCAAAAGTTGTCAAAAATAAAAACAACAAAATCTAAGTAAAATGAAATATTCTCTCTAGAAACTTCCTTGTGAGGGATTGATTCACACATCTAAATGAGGAATTATGGGAACTGATGCTTAGTGATCAATCATTCTACATGCCTGACCAATCTATCTATCTATCTATCTATCTATCTATCTATCTATCTATCTATCTATCTAACTATCAAGAAAAGGTTGCAGGTTCAAATCCTTCTCTGTCTGTGTGAGTTTCTTCTGAATGCTCAGCTTTGATCCCATAATCCAAAGGCTTGCATGTCTGGTGATCTGGCCGTAGTCCCTGTAAATCGGTGAGTGTGTTTGTGTATGACGAGGCTCTGCCATGATGCCGTGTCCAGTCTGTCCAGACATCTGCCCCCCCCCGATTGGACAGGTGAGTACTGAAGACCTGCACACCCAGATAAAGCTCACTGGAGAAGAAAGACTCCCACAGTGATCTGCAAAGCTCGGTGGTGAAATCTGGGAAGTCACCACAGACCTGTTTACATGGGCCTTGACATCACATGCTCTGCTGTCTCACTTAGGTCTGAGGCTGAATGGAAAGAAAACCATCAAATGAGGCAGAGGTGGGGAAGGAGGGGGTGGGGAAGGAGGGGGTCCAGGACAGGCTGTGGGTTAGTAGGGTGGGGTCATCTGAACTCTGTAAGATATTGGACGCTGTACTCAGCACAGGATGAAAGTAATACTTAGCAACGTCAACAATTTATTGATGTTATTCTAGCACATGTGCCTGGGAGGGGGTGAATCTGGATGCTGGATGTGCTTTGGCCCTGATTTGTGATGCAGCTGGTCTCTAGGGGAAGGCAGGGTGGGGGGATTTTACACCCAGTTGTCAAGCAGTGCCTGGATACACCAGCAACCCTGAAAGGACGAGGGTCAGGCTAATGCTTACTATGGAGAGCGGGAGTGTGCAACACGGATATCCATCCATCCATCTTCCAAATTTCTGTTTATTTCTGTCAGGCAACACAGAGAACAAGATATATGTATGGGGTATATGGAGTATAAACCGTTCAGTGCGAGTCCTGTTCAGCTGATAAAAAGAGATGCCACATTATTATTTTTTTGAAAATGCTGACAACAAAGCTCTTATTTGTTATGACGAAATTGTTTTTGCTCCTTGCATTGTACTGAATTTAATACCCCAAGATACTTGGAGTTTGAAAGGTGCACTCACGACAGACTTCATTTATATGCCTGTGCAGTTCTGTGGTCTATATAGATTACAAAAATCTGATATGTCAGAGTGCCGTCCAATTCCCCCATCGTGAGCGCAGTGAACTCACGCTGGCCTGTACACGTCAGGGCACCTGGTCCACTAGCCTGTCATTTTCACTTAGATCCTACAGAATTCCTTTTCAAATTACAGTACGGTTTGCAGTGGGTTTTAATTAAATATGTAAAGGAAAAAAAAAAGATAATGCAATCTTAATGTTAATCTTGAACCAGTCCTCAAGGGTACTCAGTGTCCCAGTCCCACTCCTGTGTTTTTCAGAAGTTCATCATCATCATCATCATCATCATCATCATCATCATCATCATTTTATTATTATTATTATTATTATTATTATTATTATGGCTAAAGGGTTGCTTTAAGAATGTATATTACCTGTTGTTTAATCACAGAATGCGTCAAATTTGCCATTACTTGACATTAATCACAGAATGCTTCAAAATAATGTCAATGCGACAAAATTGAGGTTCCCCCAAGAATTTGAAAACCCTGGGATTCGGCACAGCAATGGTTTCTTCCAGTTGGATGCAATCTCACCTGTTTCAAATACGAGGAACCCCATTGTTTGAAACATGGAGAGCTCACACCCCCATGTTAACCAATTGCTGACTGCTTCACTGATTATGCATTACACTGAAAGTTTTGGGGCGGATCCATGTTGGGGAGAGACCATCCGTCTCGGGTGGGAGGGGGACTACAAGCTGGAAATGGAGTCACTGGGAGCCATTAACAGCCACCCTGGGGAAAACCTGCCATCAGTGGCACATGGTATCTGGTCACCCTGCTGGAAAACAGTAGATATCTCCCTTGATTGCTATTCGTTCCCATCCGTGGGATCGGTCCCCGTGCTTAGAGGTCTCAGCTGTTGTCATGACTCCTTATGGGATATATCTCCACAGCTTTCAGAAGACAACCTCTTCAGAAGAAACCAGCTTTCCTGGTTTTTGATACCTTATCATTCAGTGACTGACTGACCCTGACTGGAGAGCACATGACCAGAGCTGCAACACGAAACTCCCCTCTATGCTCGGGGAGGCCATACTATGGCAGGCTTTGTATACATCCAGGAAACCAGAAACCATCCAGCATCCTAGGGCTCATCTGGGTGGCTTATTGTCCTATCCCAGTGTTTTCCACTCAATCCTAAGGGACCCCTAGACAGTCCACATTTTTGCCTGGAGATGGGAGGGAGCAAAAATGAGGACTACTTGGGGGTGTCTGAGGACCAGGTTGGGAAACACAGGGTTAGGATGCTGGGCCTATGATCGGAAAGTCATTTGTCTGATTCTCAGGTCAGCAGGGTGACGTCACCACTGGGCCCCTGAGCGAGGCCCCTAACCCCCCCCAATTGTTCCAGGCACTGGCTGACCCTGCTTTCTCAATTGTGCGTCGCTTTGGATAAAAGCGTCTGCTGAATAAATGTAACGTCAAGCACAGTCTGGTCGACCCAAGCAGAAGAATCATCCCCAGTTTGCAGATGGTGGATTTATTCTGCACCCTTGCTGGTGTTTGGCCGTATCTCCATTTTCACCATTACATCAGACGGGCTTCCAGAAAGTAATGCGATCAAAAAGTTAATGACATGCACAGGCCCAAAAAATGCTTACACTGGTTTTTTTTTTTATTAAATTCATTTTGGCATAGACCTACAACTAAATGTGTGGATGCAATTACGGGGGATGAAGAGCAGCAGAGATTTTAGGAATTCATAAGCTCTATTACATTTATTGATCACCTCGGTGAGGGGTGGGTTGTCGATAGCAACGAGAAAGACAGGTGTCCTTGGTCGTCACGGTGATTTTCTTTTTACCCCCCACCCCCAGAGAGTGGATGATACACTAGAAGCCCCCCAAGGTGGATTGATGCTAGTTGTCATGCACTCTATCTGTCCAGAAGGGACACAGTGATGACCCCCACCCCCCTGATGACAGGACGACATTTGAGGAGGTCATCATGGGCTGGCTGAAGTCATCATACGGTGGCAATAATTGCGATGGTGCTTTATTAAGGTGATACATTGCAATGATGCAAGTCATCCTACCATGAAATTGAAGAATAGACATCTGCGATTTTTTTTTTTTTTTTTAGTGTTGAGGTGAGGAGTATTCAGTCGAGTTTGAAGTCACCTACTGACATGCCGTAAAATATTTTAGGGAAAGCGATATCTTTTTTTAGGCTGCCGTTATTCGCTCATGTAGGGTTTATTTTGATCTGATGGCTTCTGTCTTTTCATAGTCAAAACTTCCTCTGTCATGAAATGTATTCTGGGAAAAAAAATACAACGTGGGTTATGTGTGTCAGGAGACATAAACAGGAGACAAGGGTGAGCTCCCTTCCTGCAAGTCACTCCGCTGTCTCTCGACAGACAGCTCTGGCATTCCTCCCCGGTGTCACATTTACTGTTCAGAAGCTGTTTGCTCACAAATCGGGCCGTCGGGGGAGAAAGTGAGACTTGAAACTTTTGACTGAATTCTGAAGGCTGATCTCGTCACTTCCTCTCAATTTATTACCAGCCCACGGCTTGTTCGACATGAGGACTGCATACCAGGGGCAATTCTGGGATACTTTAAGGTGGTGGTGGTAGGGGGGGAGCCAAGCTTATAATTAGCCAATGAGATGTTTATAATCAGTGAGTGACAAGGAGGCGGCCCTCTGGGGACCAATCAGCTTTCAGCTGGGGCCAATGCACCTGTGGCCTTCCTCTGTATATGGCCCCTAGTGCATAGAGAGGCGGGGGGTGTTAATGGAACGGGAGGGCCTGACTGCAAGCTTTTGGCTTCCGCTATCCAGGCTGTCAATGCCTTTGCTTGAGGCCGTCGTTCCTCTTTTTAAAACTTCTAATGCTCTTTGTCGCGGTCGGAGCCATCCTGCCCACAGCCCTCGGCGGCTTCTAAGGATCCTTGCCCCTCTACCTTCCCCCGAATCCCTTCAGTTCCCCCGTATGTGGGACGCTCTCAGAAACAACACGTCTGACCAGAACTCAAAAAGGCCTTTTGTTCCCCGGCTACTCCGCCCCTTTTTAGTATCCTGTCCTATTTCTGCTTGCGTTAAAACAGATTCCTCCCCGGGCTGTCAAATACCACTCTTTTTTTGTTTTTTTTACTCTCACCTTATTCCTCCACTTCGCACTTTAATGGCTTTCCAAAATGACGGATTTGTGAAATTTTCAGTGAACTCAAAGAACAGGATCTGCCGGTCACCCCTGCATAAATATGTGCGTCCTTTGCACTGCAGTTAGTGCCACCATGTCCTGCAGAAGAGGACAATATATATATATATACACACATAGGTTTCTGAAAGACAATGGTGATTTGTTCACTTAATTTGACAGTTTCTTCTGATCAACAGCCTTATCCCAATGTGTGAGAAAGACAACAGATATATATCAGAGAAAAAAATGATAGGATTTCACTGACAGGTAAAGAATTATAAGGAAATTAAAATTATGTGCGCTTACTTACCCCAAGGAATCATGTCGCAGTGACATACTAGATATAAAGACTTTTATTCAGGAGCAAATTCACCGTAATATTACACAAAAAGGTTACATTTTGTGCTGATGCTTTAGGTATTGTTCTGTGTCTGTATACCACCTTTCTGAAGTTTTATTAGTCATTGGTGCGTTTCTGCAAAGGCGACTGCATTTTAGATACTTGAATGTATTTTTTCTCATATTAAATTTGAGTCTTTTTTTCCCAGCCCCATCTATCATAATTCCTGACGCCCATTCTGAAGCCTTTTCCAAGCTGTACTATGACTCTGTCATGCAGAGCTTCCACAACACTTTGGGAAATTACCTGGTGGAGAAAAAGATACAAAACAGGCATGATTAAGGGCCCTTTGCTCCCACAAATTGCAGGGAAGGGAGATGGAGGTTTTCCGGGTGGCCGGGTGGAGAATGAAAAACGAAAAGCTCTCACATTGTTAGCGTCGACTGTCCATGTCAGCCTGATGCGATGTGACAGCTGCACCGAGCCGTGAGGTCACAGCCGAACCCGCAAATGGTGGCCCTGGGGTGACCGGGACGGAGTGGGCGAAGCAGCGGACCGACAGCCCCCGCTGGCCGCCCGCTACCCGTCATCCTCTGTCTGCACCAATCCGTGGCTCTGGCCTGTGGCAACGACCAATGAACGACGGGGCACGGACAAGTGGGGGAGGAGCTAAACCGCTGTTGCTCACCCAAGGTTTGAGGTTTCCAGTCACCCTATAATCCATAGAATTTGGACAGCAGACATAGACCAGGCAGAGAAGACAGTGAGAAAATGCATAACCTTCCAGAACCCTCTCCAGTCACCACCTCCTGGCTTTTATCAAGGCTAAAATACCCCATTTACAAAAACACTAAAATGCAGGCTTCTATGCGGAGCCTTAAAGTGTGAAGTAATATTCAGAATGAAACAATGTCATAATAATCTGGGATTCCAGGTTAACTTAACATCCGTGCACTCTGTGTTCATCTTACCTGCCTTGAGAACACAGAGATCAACAATTATCCTCAAAAATCAGTAATAGCACGAGTAATATTACTTTTCTATTTGCCAGTAATAAATTTTAATCCAGCCAACAAGATACGATTGCCGGTTGATACTCTGGTCCCAGCGACAGGATTTCCCAGCTCAGCTATAGATATCTTCTTGACGCAATCCTGCGATGGCTCTTTTTTTGGTGCTGCCCATGTCGCAATGTGAAATCTGCAGCATGCGCTGTATGGTAAACACGTCTCTGGGCCCGGCTTTCACGCTAACACATAGGGAGGAAGCGATCTTTAGCAATCTCTCCGCCAGTCCCTCCAGATCTGCGGCAACCCACATTCGCACAGTTAAAAATACCCCCTCTCTCACATACCGCGGGGACGAACAAAACAGCTGCTTGTTGTGCCTGTCTGGCACGGCTAGCGGTGCCTTCACTCCACTTTCTTGCGGAGGGACCCTTTGACCTGTTTTCGGTCATCGCTTTGACACCGGCTCACTTCTGACACGAGGCATCAATCTGCGGACTCATTGACGTGACGGCCAGTTCTCCGGCCAACGGGGCTGGGCCCGGATCCAGGGCCAGTCAGTCCGAACGGCGACATAGGCAGCCGCCTAAGGCGCCAAGTTTTGAGGGGCGCCAGCTTGCCTAGAGCAGCACATGGGCTTCGACCGGGATCTGGCTGGATCTCATGCTCGGTCAATCAGACATGACCGGCCAAACTACAGAGCATCAGAACCCTTGGATATTAATCTACAGAATCTGTGACTTAGCCATAAACTCATCAGAAGCATCCTTGATTTTTTTCACAGCAATCTGGAGCGCAGATGTTATCGCAATCGGAACGGGAGTACGTATGAAACACCTGACAGAGAAACATCACGGGATCTACCCGCATCCCACGCGGTGGGTGCTGTGAGTGGAATTTATAAACTGCTATGCGCTGTCATGGCGAAGGCAAATTCTTCCTTTAATTTCATGGCTTATCTGCATAAGAGTGAGTCCCGGTGTAGATACTGTCTGCGGCCAGATGCTCGAGAAGGGAGCAGGCCATGGGCTTGGTATGGTGAAGGAGCATCACATTGAGGCCTTAAAAATGGAGAATGCACAGCTTCATGAGGAATACCAAGCAATGGGCTTTGTAGAGTGACACACTGCTCATGCTCTTCGGCCCTGCTCCCATCCATCCTTGCAGTCCTCCACTTCATGGGCGATAAATGGCTGCTCAGAACCAGGCCTTCTCTTGTATCACATGACAGAAGGAGAAGGGGATAATGCTCTCATTGGCTCACATATTACATACCTATGTGGGGGGTCTTGTACATTTATTATGCAGGTGCTTTTATCTAAAGCGACATACATTTGAGAAAGCAGACAGTCCTTGCAGCAATTGGGGTTCATGATCTTGCTCAAGGGCTCAGTGGTGATGTCATTCAGCAGACTCGGGGAATGGAGCCGATGACCTTCCGGTCGCACGCACAAGACCATAACCTGCTGAGCCACACACCGCTCAGTGACTGCACTGTGTTGGCGCCCACGTGTTGTGCTCTTATTCTGACTGCGCGAAACCTGTTTAGTTCCCAGGACAGATGGACATCTATGTGCTACCTCCAGCCGTTCCAATTGCTCAGGATAATGTGGGTTCTGTGTGCTGGAACCATAATTACATACCTCATTACCTCCTCTACATTCGCAGCGTTCCTGGCTAGAAAAATTACACAGTACGGTGACAGAAGGTCATTCTCGTTCCCCTAGTGGCTATTCCAGATTCCAGCAAGTCGACGGGCTGGGTAATGCTAAAACAAAATGCTGCAGTAACAAATATTAAACACTGTTTCGTTTAGATTTGAGACTCCTTATTATTCCATATATGAAGGAAACAAATGACTGCCTCACTGCTGCCTAGTAATAGGTGGATAATGGATGACACGGAGGGCAACTTAATGCCAAGGAATGGATCATTACCCAACATTCCTCCAACCCAGTCATGTGCTGACAGTAGCAAGCACAACTCTGGTGTCAGACTGGGCTATGACACCAAGAGCTGTGGCTATAAATCCCAATTAAAGTGGCTAAAGAAGCTAAAGTAAAGCAGATAAAGTCAATAAAGAAGTTGGCGTCTTAAGCTCTCAGATTAGCATCTGCGCTTCCGCGGGCAGGACCATGGGTGAGATGCTAAATGTTTGTAATCAGCCCAGTCATCCTGGGTCCCGTGTGTTTAACCAGGCAGGAGTGCTGTACTATGGGGGAGGTGGTCTTGCTGAGAGTTTGAGACTTATTTAACCAACAGAGACAAACTGCAAGCCAGTGATTTGAATTCACCTGTACATTCAAGGTAAGCTAAAACAGGTGGTCATTGGGGAATCAATAGACAAGAGGTCACATGACTGACCAGGGAGGGTACAGAGTCACCATTTACATTGTATGTATTAAGCAAGCAAGCATTTATTGTTGGTTTTGAGGAAGCAGGGTGTGAGAAAGATAAGTCCCTGGAGCAATTGCCAGTTAAGGGCCTTTGCTCAAAGGCAAAGTCACCCAGCTGACCCTAGGATTTAAACCAGCGACCTTCTAACCACCAGCACAGCGAGCTAATCTGCTAAACTGTATCTCACCTCCTCAAAACGGTGTGGCAAACTTAGCTTGAACTTGGGTGCTTTGGCACATCAAGCAGTGATCACTATCCAGTTCAACTATCCACTCACCTTTTACTTTGAAATAAAGAGATAGAAGTGGAACTGACAGCATCAATGATACATTGAGTTGTTGTAGACTACATGCCTCATGACTGGACCGTTGGCGTGATTTTGACTTTGGGATCAGGGACGAAATTTCAGCAGTGAAATCTCCAGGCGGCCACTCACATAAAGCAAGGGTAGGCAATCTCATCAAAAAAAGGGCCGTCGTATGAATGACGTTTCACTGTAACTCCATAAGTAGATTACTAATTAGAGGACTGATTGGCGGAAGAGTCCTCACAACTGGGTTAGAACAAAACCTGCATACACACTGGCTAAGACTGACCATCCTTGACATAAAGGAACAGAGTCTAACGTCTTCTTAGTTAAATATTAGTTAAAGCCGGAATCCGGAATACAATATCCAATCTTCTGCAACTGGTTCAATGGAAAATTAAAAGCAGTGCCAATTATTTGCCCTTTGGCTTTCATCCTTCATAGTATAGTGTGGCAATGCTGGCTAATCCAGATCGTGAACGCAGACTCTACACACTTACACCTTGGAGCACAGTAAAACAGATTCGAAAGGAGTAGTCTATCCATCTTTGAAAGCGGGTTACCTAGTTTGGGTAGTGGTGAACCAGAGCCTATTCTGGGAATATTGGGGCATAAGGCAGGGTACACCCTGGAGGAGACATATCCATCACAGCGGCCCCCCTCCACCATAGCCCTAAGCTAAGGGCAATTTGGCTGAACGTCATGTCTTTGGACTGTGGGGGAAAGCCAGATTGGACTGACATAGTCCCCTGGGGAATGTAACACGGGAGGAACACAAACCTGGGGCCAGTTTGAAACCATCAACCCATAAGGTGATGATACCACCTGCTAAGCTATCTTACTGCGAGACAGGCAGAAGCCCGAAACAAAAAAGGTCGGCCATTAATACAATTTAAGCTAACTTGAAAACTTAAAATGTGAGGGAAAAAAAACATACACCCCATGACGAGGTGGACAATGTGTTTTCTGAAAAGCCACAAACTGCCGTCATTAATTCTTCTCCTGCACGTTCATTTCCTCAAGGTCTCTGTCTCGTCCTTCTACCGACTAACTTGCGTTAAATAGGATTCTGTTTTTACGCTCTGTGAATATTTCAGTTTTATTGGCATCGACTCTGCTGGTGCTTTTTATTTCTCGGTCTTTAGCGCTATCTCTTACTTTCCTGAACAAATCAAGATCGACATGCATTTATACTTTGTAATGGATACTTTACACTAGAGTATATCATACATTCTGGGTTTGTTTTCAGTACTGGGCTGTTAAGCTTCTGCAGGACGCTCTCGAAGATCAAAGCTCTTGGTTATGTGTGCTTTAGCTTGCCAACTTGTGGGTGTGACATTTTTGCATCTGCTTTCAGTCAACCTGCACGCCAGTCTGTCATGCCTTGAGTCGACTTGCTTGGACTGTAGGATCATGTCTCGATGGAGTGAAGGGGAACTTCAGGATTGGGCTGGAAGTTCTCCACATCCACTTGGAAAGAGCTGTCCCAACAGAGATCAAAGCGGTCAGGGCGTACTGCAGCAGGTGAGTGACGACGAGCTGTCACCTCCCCACCTCACCCCCAGGCACTGTTTAGCTGATGAAAGGTGAAGCATTGGCACACAGGTTCCCAGGGAATGTACGGGTATAGTGGGCGGCCTGTCACCTGCATTGTGCTCCAATCAGAACCGACACCAGCCTCTAACTGGGCCTATGGGCAGCCAAAGGGTGTAACGGCTCCTGACAGCATCGCCGTAAGCTGCTCTTTGCTCTACTTTTCTGGATCCTTCCAGCATTCTCAGCCGTGTCCATATGGCTTCACGCAAGGCACCGATTGGATGCAGTGCTTAAATGACTAGCGAAACGAAATAAAAACAACATTGTAAAGGCTTTTGCAGGCTTTCCCTGTAGTAGCATACTGGAGATATGCTGGCCACATCTCTGGCCATAGACAGACCACGTAAACCATTACGTCAACAACTTACGGCGCATGACGTACATATGTGATTTATGGAATGTTCCCACCATCCTGCCCATATATAGCGATATAATTATACTCAGCGGTATTTCACACGCCCTTGCTGCGTGGATTGATGCTGATAATTTATTTACCCTACGAGGATTTTTAAATAAGAGGGACTGAGCCTTGGAGTAACCTTGGCACATTTTCGGAATGCGGAGGCTGCTGTCCCGGAAGAGAGAAGGGCTGGAAATATTCAGGTCCAGGCTTGTCCCATAAACCTGGACTGAGACGGGAACATCTCTTCCTCACCAGTGCCGTGGTGCTAGCCACGTGAGCAGGTCAGCTGACATCTGCCCTACGATGTGACGCCTTCACCTTTAACAAGATTGAAGGTCGATTAAGAGTCAGCCAGATGCATTATCGACCCAGTTAAAGGTCAGATTAATCATGTCTAGTAGCTGAACGAATGGGAGGAGGACTTCCTTGTCACATGATGCATACCATATCGTCACCTGACCCCGCTCCAGTTGTAAGGGGGTTCCAACCAGGCCTGCATCAATACCTGCTTCAGAGTTACACTTTCCCGCTGTTTTAGTCCATTTGGCTAATGACTGTTCATTGCCTCAGGTG